AAACCACCGACTGAGGCCCCAATAACTTATAATAACTGAAATTAAACGACTGCTGCTGTCTGAACGCAGCTTCACTACTTCCTCCTGGTGGCATCTGAAGGGAAATCTGTGCTGGTTCATCAGTCAGCTGGATCTGATCCAAACCATTCTGAGTTTTTACCAGGATCTTTTTGTGGTTTCGCTTCTACGAAACGGACAGATGTTACGTCTGCTGCTCTCCTTCTGGAGGTAACGTCTTCAGCTCCATTTGTTAAAACTGCAGGATGAGTTCAGTTTAATCCTTTGCAGCGGCGGAGCCGCGTCTGCATTGGTTGTGCAGCCGCAGCGCACTGCGCATGTTACTGTCTAATAACTTCTGCACTTTTATTTATGTCCTCAACATAAACTACAGAACACCGGCTCCTGTGTCTAGCTCAGTGTTTCTCCACCTGGTCCTCAGCCCCCCTGCTCTGCATGTTCCAGATGAGCCTCTGTTCCAGAACAGCTGATCCAAATGACTGCAGGACCATCAGGAGCTGCAGATCCTGTTAATCACCCAGAGATACAATCCAGGTGGCAGAAGGGAAACACCTGAAACATGGAGGACAGGAGGCCTGAGGACCAGGGTGGAGAAACACTGAGTTAGACTGTAATGGATTATCACAACATTAAAAACTCTTTAGTTTTCTCTGTTCTATATGTAATGGAGACTGAAATTTACCGTTTCTGCCAAAGGTTTTAACGCTCTTCCTAACCAGACGCTCCAAAGCGTCCGGTCCATAACTCTTCAACACGCCGTCAGCTCCCGGTCAGAAAGTTCAGAGTCCATGAGATGATATTCAGAAATGATCTTTTATTCTTTGATTTTAGTTGCTTCTGCGATTAAATCTTTGTGTAAAGTCCAAGGGTGTTAATTAGAACCTGTCAAAGGGTATGGAAAATATTCCATTAACACGACCTCTGGTTGTAGCTCATGTTAACTCAGATTTTTCAGAGTTAGCGTAGATGGTGATGGCAGGAAAGATCTCCTGTAGCAGTCTGCATTACAGTGAATCTGAAGAAGCCTCTGAATGAAGACTTTGGTCAGATGCCAGAATCCTGCTGCTGCCATCTAGTGGCTGTTTCTGCTCCAACTGAACCAGTGTCTGTCCTCCACCAGAGAGCGAGTTGCGCTTCGCTCGCTGGAAGAAGGCCGTCCAGAAATCCATGAACTGGGAGACATCAGAGACCAGTTGCACCAGTAACGGTAAGCCGCCGCCACCGCAGCGCTGATGGACTACCTGAAACCAGAACCAGAGTCTCACTGGGCCCCATATTGGATGCTCTCTCATTGGCTGAACACAGGTGTAGGGAACGGCGCCCCCTGCTGGGTCCCTCGCCCCCATCAGAGTGGACCTCTAAGGTCCGGCCGTAGCCGTGAGGCATGTTGCTGGTTCTGACGGGCCGATGCAGCACGCGCCTCTAACACAGGGTTCTAATGGGTTCAGAACCAGCTCGGTTCACCAGGTTCGGCCGCGTTTCATTGGCTAATGCCCATTTGACGTCACTGCGCAGCTACCACGTGCTT